TTGTTATTATTTAACCAATCAGAAAGATCCAGATCAATATCTGTATCTATCTCTCTCATATGATGGCCCGGCATGGCCAGGTGGTTAGGGCGCTCGACTCGCAATTTGAGGATCGCGGATTCGAATCCCCGTCCAACCAAACATGCTCGCCCTTTCAGCCATGTGGGCGTTATAATGTGACGGTAAATCCTACTATTCGTTGGTAAAAGAGTAGCCCAAGAGTTGGCGGTGGGTGGTGATGACTAGCTGCCTTCCCTCTAGTCTTACACTGCTAAATTAGGGACGGCTAGCGCAGATAGCCCTCGTGTAGCTCGGAATTAAAAAACAAAAACAAAAAACTCTCTAATATGCTATAAAAGTACAGGCAGCCATACTTTGCCCGTAATATTCAAGTATATCCAACAAGTAGCCAAAGGTTTCCGGAAAAACGGAGATTCAGGACTGTCAAGCCAAGAATAAATCGAACACAGACTTTAAAGACACAAGTAAACAGATAAAATCTTCACTTACAATAACTGTGTTAGTTTAAACTTCCGCATTTCATATAATGACTTCTCATTGGCTGCTGGGGTAAAGATGGCGCTTTTCAATTACGTCAGCACAGGAAAAAAACAGCAAGAATTATTATCTACAGCACTTTCAAATTAGACAAACGATTCAAGTGTTGTATCCGTAACCCAAAACTAAATATGTCACTGACTATTTCAAATAACATGTACAGGAGAGAACACCCATAACTCGTAAGAATTTCTACAAGAATGTGCCACCGGTTTAGATGCCCCCTCCCAAGAGTGTATACATTACCAACGTGATACAAGCTTATAATTGTTGCCATGTGTAAGCTTTACCTAAATAAAAATAATAGCACATGTTTATGACATTTCGACATCCGGCTAATGACAATATTATAACTATTTATAGAACACTTACACGAAGATTTAGAAAAGCATGTGAACATACCTGAATCAAGATATATATATATATACACACACACACACTCGATAAAGAAGGATTAAATTAGTAGTTATTTCATCACTGACATCCCCAGTAGTAGTAGTATGGTTTCTGTCATGGCTTCCCTGCAGGACTAAAATATCACATGACATGGATACGGAAATTAAAGTTTTGGCTCGTTAGGGATACTTCATTGGAAAACGTTTGGTAAGATTCCATGTTTCAGTAAGAGCTATAAACAAGACCCTAAAAACAGTACGTGAAACTGGCATTGTTAGTAACTGAACTAGTTGAAAACCGAAATTTTCCCCCCAAACATATCTCAGAGTATGTTTTTAAGATATATATGTATATATAATAGCCTTTTTGTGAATAAAGGTGTGAATCTTACCTCAAAAACAGTAAGAATCACATTAATATGTAACGGTCTTAATGGACGTGTAGCAGCTCGAAAACGTCTGATGAAAAGAGGTAATCAAACCCAAAGTGTGAAATGGGTATTGGACCACAAACAGTGGAATGAATAAAGATGGAGACATCTGACCTTTACAGATGAATTCATATTTTATTTTGCGACAACAATCAGTGACAGTTTATTCGACGACAGAGAGAAGAACGGTATCATGATAAATGTACAACATCTATGGTGAAGCATGGTGGATATCAGTAGAAGTTTGGGGATATATCTCAGCCAATGATGTCACTCCCTCAGCAACACGACTCATTGGGCGGGAACTCATCTTTCAGTAAGACAATGATTCCAAACATATAGCAAAATCTCAATGTGAACCTTAGGGTTGTGTAAAAACTGGGAAGGTCAAAAGGCACTTTGAACAATATTCCACAATTGTATGTTGATAAACTGTGTAGCAGCACGAAAACAAGGTGCAATACTCGCTCATACATAAAATACTGGCACATAGTACAATCTGTTCCTTTTCTTTGGCATTTCTTGTGATAATGTTTTATACCATTCATAAATTTATCATCTGGTTGTCATTACTGGTTGTTTGAGATTCCTGTACGTATATCGCTTGTGTGTTTTTGGAACTACTTCCATTACTGTATATTTAAGGATTTAACTAAGTAACAACGATAAATATTAATATTGAATCTTTAAAAGAAACATATATTAGAATATTCCATAATAAACTGTATTACGTCAGTTTTTATTATTCGTATACAAAAGAGTTGCAACTTTTGTGTCTAAACACCAATTTGAATTCATATAATGCGATTATTTATAATATACAGTACTTGATTTTATTTTGACCATTTTTTTTCTCATTTACTGAAGCAGAAATATAGACATGTATGTTCTTCGACGATTATAAAATTTCGACATCCTAATGAAGTATAGTGGTCTGATTTTGTCAAGAGTACTGATTCTAAGAACTTAAAGAGTGAAGGTCAAGAAGAATGTTTTACAATATGCCAACTACATTATATCTATCACATCCATTGCAGCCGAAGCCTTTCGCCCAATACCAGGGCTCATCAGGTCGGCTGGGATACGACAGATATAGTAGTTATGGATACTATTAAGTTGCTTGAACACCAACTGTTACATTTACTGCTTTTGTACTTTTCACTTTTGTGTCTAACTTATAGTTCAACTAAAAACGGCTTTGAAACTATATACTTAGGACTTAATCTCCGTAGAATTACCCTTTTTGAGTAATTAGTTTGAAAAGTAAAACTATAAGCTGACAGATTACAAAATGTTATTGCAAAAAATATAACTTTTTAATGACGAAACATCATCTGCCATAAAAATATGCTTGTTTTTCTTTTACTCTAAATTGAAGTTATATGTAAAATGAAGAAACTTAACCTTGGGCAGAGTAAAATTCAGCTATATTGCAATATAATTTAAGATGCACCAATAAACAAGATGAAAGAGATAAGAATCTTGTATGCTAGCATAACATGAAGGCCATTTTCTGCTTTATATTTTACTTTCGAGAACTGTAATTTTCAAAGTTCTACAGAATGTTTACAAGAAGATTGGTGGAGAACGAACGTTGGTCTGGTAATGTGCACCGTTAGATGGCAGCGATCATATCGTAACATTTCTGTTTAAGTATATAGTTCATAAATTTTTGTACCAAAAAATATGATTTGAAACAATAAAAACAGTTACGTAACACATGCAGATACCACGTACAGTTTATAAGCGAACAACAGCAGTGTTGCCCACCCGGCCACAGATGTATTTCTTTCTTCGGTATTAATAAGCAAAGTTAGTTTCCACTGTGGTTGATGATAAACTTTAAGTAGGTGCCCCTAACGGTATTTTAAGAAATGAGAATTCTTGCTTTAAATAAGCAATGAATACAAAGATCCGAGTAACCATCGTGGTTTTTAAAAGTAGTTTTCAGAAAGTTCACTGATTGCCCAAGTATAGAGCAAGACCCGGTCAAAAATTAAATCAAACTAATCTCATATATATGTATATACATATATGTGTGTGTATGTATATATGTATATATGTGTGTGTGTGTGTATATATATATATATATTTGTGTGTGTGTACATATGTATATATATATCTGAGTGTATATATGTATATGTATATATGTTTGTGTGTGTAGCTATGTATATATATCTGTTTGTGTGTATATATGTATATACATGTTTGTGTGTGTATATATGTATATATGTTTGTTTATCTATGTATATATATATATATGTTTGTGTGTATATATGTATATGTATATACATGTTTGTGTGTGTATATATGTATATATGTTTGTGTGTATATATATGTATATGTTTGTGTGTGCATCTTTGTATATGTATATATATGTAAACTCTGCATATATTCAGAATGATTGTGATAACTTGCACTTGACTGATTACACAGATCTTCATTTTCATTATCTGTAAAGCAAACATTCTGAAAGTACACAGTATAGAAAGTAACAATTTTGTTTCATTGTGATAAGACAAGAACTTAAACTTTGGTAATGCAATCTAAAAGTATTTTTTATGCGCAAGTAAAATAAATATGTCGATGTTTTGCAGGCAAAAATAAAACATTCTACTAGTAATATGCAAGCGAGTGCAATAACTTTTTTACGCTGTCAAAATAAAGATAAAACTTTTATAAATGTATGCAGTAACACGTAGAGTTATATTATGTAAAAGTAAAATAAATCTCCGAACTTTTCCACAAGATGAGGTTTTGTTTGAACATTACTTTTTTCTTTCCTTAATTTCAAGTATGAATTAATGAACAGCTGCAACATGGCTTTGATTATCTTGTGTTATTTATTTAAAGACTCTGAATTTTCAACCATAACAAAAGTATCGTCAAGACAAGCTATCGATCTTGCATTATAGCAGCTGCCGTTATATACGAAAAATCATCAAAAACAATTAATTTATAGCTTAGTTCGGGCTAAGTATTTTGTTCCATAATTCTTGTTATCGAGGTTTTACAGGTCTTTCTGCAAGGAAGGTCTTGTTTCATTAAAGTAATTACTTTCTGACGCTTTTAGCAATTAAACTTTGCTTCCTCCTGTCAAGCTTTTAGGCGAGATGGAAAGTTGGAGACAGTTTTATCAACCGTTTATAATATGCTGGTTTCTCTATACTATTAAATTACCACTTTTTTTGAAACCTTATCATTGGAATTAGGGACTTTATGTATTATGATATTGTATTTGTATGACAATGTGTTTTGTTTCCGAGATAGGAACAACTTGTGAGGTTAACGAGATGGCTTAGGAATTGTAACACTACAAACAAGTGTAGCATATTTTATCAGATTTAATACGTAAGGAATACAATATTACGTAATATAATTAAAATATGAACGTTAAAACTAGATTTATAATACATAATGTTTGTACGTCAATAGACCCCTTACGCAAACACACTATTTCTCCAGTTAAGACTAAATTATAGTTAAGATAAATAATATGTATATTGAATGAAAAGTTAAGTGTCAACAAAAGCAGGAAAGATGCATCGATAAAGGGACTAACTTAACATTTTAACTAACTCTTTTATTTTCAATCGAACATTTAATAACCCTGTAATTGCACCTTACAGGATTACTATGATGAAATTCGCCAGACACAACTAAGAGAATTAGCCATTTTGAACAAGAACAGAAACCAAGACAGTACACTCGATAATACAGGGCCTGACCAGCTATCATCGCCATCTGGTGGGCAAGAAACACTTACAACCCCAACGTCCAGACTGCCTTTGTCACTTTATTCTCAAGGCTTATTGAACGGTAGAGATCGATTGGTTGGCGGACCGAGTGTTTCTAGACACGTGATGCACCCTGGTGCTGGACTTCGTAGAAGGACACTCCCATTAAAACGAGTCATTCAACCTCATCATGACGAATCCTCACTCGTTCCCTCTGGCGAGCCAGTATTAATCCAACAGAGGCGGCCAGTGCTCCGAAGCCAAGCAAGTGGCCATTTTCATACAACTCTTGCAAAACCTGTACTGCTCGAAGAAAATGGCTACGTAAGTTAAACATGGTACCTGAAATTGATTTTAAAGGACTTTGCTGCTTATAACATATAAGGTTTTAATGTTTAAAGCATTAATGAAGAGTGGAGTTTTATAAACACATGTTGCAAGAAATCAATCGATGCTTTACATGTTAACCATATGACATATGAACCAAATAACACAAAAACATAAATGCGAATAAGTCTGTGCCCACTACCAGAAATTGTTTGTCGTGTTTCTATATGAAACAATGGTAGACAGAAATGTTGAAAAGGCATTCGTATGGAAGGGGAAACTTCAGGTGGGCTAGTCAGAGTGTAGTGTATGATTCCATTGATGTTGAAGAATGTTGCTTGCTTTTTAAGATGCAAGAACATTCATAAAGCAAATGCAAACTAGTTCTAACGTCAGTTAAATTTCCTTTATTCATATATATATACACGTGAAGTCCAGGTGGTGAATTAGTAAACAGTTCATTCCAACATGACAAGCACGAACAAATCAGTGTTTATGGGGTACTAAAGCTATTCTTTGATGTTTTCAACGTATTAGATGAGACCACATTTCGTTATTACGAGTACTCGTATTTTTCAGGGCATTATTTAGGTATATAAAAAATGGTTATCGTTTTTTTATTGTTGTTTCAGCATAAAGCTACACAATAGCCTATCTGCACTCTGACCACGAGGGGGGATCGTATCCCGGATTTTAGCGTTGTAGCTCCGTAAACTTATCGCTGACTCATCGAGTGATATGGTTATCAAACATAATTGTTATGTTTCGGTAAATCCACAGTGACTTCAGTAGACGTGCTTATATTGTTATTTGAAACAAGCTCTATTACCTTAATTCTCAACTTTGTTCATAATTTTCAGGTGCTAAGTATGAAGTAAGATAGGAAATACATTTAACAGTACTTGAAAATCATATAGATACGTTTAACAATATACAATAATTTCTAAAATTTTAGTTGTCATTCCAAGCATAGCAGCCAGCCTAAAAGAATAAAGAGTCAAATTTTAAGATACAATTAGTTCTAAGGTCATTATCCCAGTTAATTAGAACAACAAAAGACGGTAAAATGTACACATATATCTTGTACACGAATGCTTTAACATTTGTCAAAAATACCAATGTTCATTGTTTATGCAGATAAGTGGTAATAATTGTCACAAGTAAAAGGGTTTGTGTGTCATAAGCGTTTTCGCGAACAGTTGAGATAATTAGGGATGTTGAAACACATCAAATAATAAGGTAAAAAGACCATTAGTAGCACACAAAACAATTAATATCAAGACCAACAATAACCTTCAACTTTCAAGACCATCAACAGTGTTCTAAACGTTTGACTACAAAGTTCAAAAATTGTTTTTGTTGTTAAGCGCAATGCTAACAAGTGGGCTATCTGCGATGTGCCCACCACAACAATCGAAACCCGATTTTTAGCGTTATCAGCCCTCAAGCTGACCGCCGAGACATCAGGGGTTGAAAATAATTTAATAAATATATTTTATGTTAAAAAAATACGTTAGGGGAGTACTAAACATGTGATGTCACAACCAAACGATCTGGTAATCATAAACATTCAAGACCATCAGTAAAGTACAAAATGTTTAATAAGAAGACCGATAATTATGTTGTAACCGACCGCTTTCAATATCTTCAGTAATATAATAATTCTTTAATATGAAGACCTAATATAGCATAGTATGTATCCATTACAACGCTAACAAAATACAACATTAACAACGCCTACAAAAGTATATTCAACATTCACTTTTGTGATCAACAATATTGTTGTAAGCGTCCATTGTCGAGGTCAAAGGTTATAAAGTAGATACAAAGTAGTAATGAATATACCACGCTTACCTCATAAAAAAACAAAAAACTTCTGTGTCGTTGCTACCCAATTAATTTAGGAACTCTTCCAAATTCCAGGCCTACTACGAAGAATTTTACAACGGTGCCGTAGATGACGTAGTAGACGAAGATTACATCTCAACTAGGTTAGTCAGTTTCTTCTTTCATCTCTTCGAGGTAGCAATTGTGAATTATGAAAAATAACAGTATTTCCTAAAAGAAAATTTGTTTTTAGACATATTCTGTTACACTTCATTAGAAATGTTTTTGATACTTTTTTTTAAAGATATATGTGAATATCTTTTCTCTCCCTCTGTCTAACCTTATATATAACCTTAAATATACCTTTAACGCGCTCTATTTTTAGTTAAGCATTGTCTATAGCGTAAAATGAATTTATGCATCCCCCGTATTCTTCCTTGCAGGTTAATATGTTTGCTAGATGTGAAATGGGAAAGCACAGAGATCAGCTTTCATTCTAAATACGCTATCAAATCTCGAGGGAAATGTTCAGGTTTTGCTACTACTGCCACATGTCGTAGAATACCAGATTATATAAACCTAGTCCACCGAAATTTCCATATGTAAATTATTCAAAATGTCAGTGTTTTTCCGATTTATCAAGATTTGGAATCTGTAAAAGTTTACAAATGTTTTTAGTGTACCACGAAAAAAAGCATTTAAAAATAACTTATTTGCTTATTGATATTAATGCTCCACTGTATTCTTCTGTGTAGTTAAGTGTAATTGACATGTCTTATACTTTTATTGGTAGCAAGGGACACTATGATCTACATGAAGAAGACGTGTATAACAACGGTTACCATGAAGGTACGTTTAAAAGCTTTCGAGCGAATAAAAAATAAAAATAAATTTCTGAAATCTTGTTATCGTGCAGTTTCGAGTTTTAATATGTGATGTTACTTGTGTAAGTAACATACAACAATTAAGCTAGTACTGTGTAATCGTTATTTCCAAGTTTAAGTAACTATACCTGTTAGGCAGTTCCATTTGCCAGTAATGTTCAGCTTCATGTGTTAACATGATGTAGCGCTATGTAGTTCCGTATTTTAAGACCGTGAATTATTGTGTAGTGCAATGTTTTACTCAGAATTATCTCGTAGTTTCCTGTGTCAATACGGTGAAGCGCTACAAAGTTCGATATTTCAGTACGGTGCACTACTGTAATGCCGTGTTTCATCCGTATGTGTAGTCATGAAAAATCATCTGTTGTAGTTTTATGTCAGTAACGTGTAACACTATGTAGTTCTACACGTTAGTACGACGTATTACTGACTAATGACATGCGCCATTAACCTGTAATTGTTTATAATTCTTTATACGTCAGTAACGTGTAACGATGTCTTCATTATGTAATTGTAATATGTATTCCCATGTGTTAATAAGATGCAATTTTGTTTAGCGCCATGTGAGATGTAATCCTATGTGTCACACATTAGCATATAGTCTTGTCCAGTCCCATGGGCCATCAAAATGTCCAATTTCTTGTGATGTTAACGTGTACTCCTGCCTACACGTGTGGCTTTGGTATATAATCCTGTCTAGTTTCATGTATCGTTAATATGTAGCCCTGCCCATTTTCATGTTGCTTTAACAGGTATGCTTGTGTAATTTCATAGGAAGTATGCCTCTCCAATATTCCAGTTTGTCAATACCTGTTGAAGATATGTTGCGTTCGCATTCCTCTGCGAAGTTCAAAGGTCCTCTCATGATTTACGGGTACAAATGGACCGATAAAGCTCCCCCACTATCCCATATTACTTCTATAACTATCCAAGGAGAGAGGGGGGCCCGTACCCGATCACAAACTTCGTTAGGACACCCGGCCGTGGTATCTGAACGCGTGTGCCACATTTCATCTCGCTCGCTAAAAACTGGGATTATGAACACAGTTTCAAAATGGTGCCCTCAGGATCCAAATTTTGATCCTAAGTTTAGGTTCAGTGACCCAAAACACCTACTCCTAGATCCCATCATGTGTGGTTGGAGTTTTGGGCGCATTTTAGCTCTCCTTGGTAGCAGAACTACGCCACCAAGAGAAGGACACATCCGGGACATTCTGAGTCTGCCTGTTCACGAACTTTGGTCCTTCTAGCTCTAAAACTGGGAGCAGTACGCAGACAAACAAATTCACATTCAACATGAATTAGTACATAGGATTATTCAATGACTATTCATACCTGAAGAAGACACACCAAGGTTCTGTCGAAACATGTAGTATATTTCACCATTAATAAAATTATTCCTTATCCTTATAAAGCGTTGTTTGCCTACCTATTATTATATTAACATAATGTGCTTCTTACTCAGATATTACTACGATAATAAGTATAATTAAGCTGCATAATTTTGATTCGTTTAGATATTTATCCTTAGGTTACATTTCTGTGTAGTATTGAATTACATGCAACCTAATAGTCTTTTTTTATTGCTAAAAATCTATAATGGTGTAGATTTTTACACGGAGTCTAAAATTACAATTATTCTATTAGGTCGTCAAGAAAGTAATGTCTCTAGACTGCAATGGCTAAGTACCCTGTATTCTGTTTCTGCAATAGCTAAGTACTCTGTATTCTGTCTCTGCAATAGCTAAGTACCCTGTATTCTGTTTCTGCAATAGCCACACAAAATACCGTAGTGGTCACACACAATACAAGACTTGGTTCATTAAACAAATTTAAGCTTATCACTTTATATTCATAGCTTGAGACAATATATGGTTCTCGTCTGCATTAAATATTTACTGATACGAAGTACTTAGTCACAAAATGTGGAAGAAACTTATAGCAATTCCATGTACATTGAAGCCAGGCGTAGCATCATGATTAGCGTGCTCAGACTATGAATCCTAATGTTCCTTGTTCGAGTATCATTGCTGCAAAAATGCGTTCAGCACTTCGGGGTCATTATAACGCTGAGTTGGCGATGTGTACTTCGATGTGTTGCCTCCCCGGCTAGTCTATTACTTCCAAATTAAAGACGACTATGCGTATATAATCATTGTGTATATATAGCTCTGTATATCCGAACCTGATATTACAGGAAATCTCGCAGTTACTGCGTAGTTAGACACTAGGAAGAAAAGAGTCAGTATTTATGAAATTGACTTGGGTTTCACGTGGTTTGATCAGTGTCTTTACGGCTTTAGGAAGAAGAACTACGTCAGACGAATGATCCGAAGTTCTCACACCTGTTCGAGGATTTACATGTGGAAATAACAGCTTTCGCCCCTGCAGCCGAAGCGTACTCTCGCATGGCTGTGGCTCTCACTGAACTGAAGCCTTTCTTAGTGCCGGTAAGAAATGAGTTACTTGTGTACTAACCCAGCAGATACCATTTAAGATCATACGGTTTATATGATATGACTTAAGTTCACTGTAACACGATCATTTGTAGCATTGACGCTACCAATAAATTAAGAATAAGTCGTATATTTGTAAAATATTTTTCTTAAGTAAACAGGATACGAAATACGATTGAAATATAATTCCAAGTGATATTTTTTGTCTTATAATGTTTTAAAGTTATTTTGTATTTTTTTTAAATAAGTTTCAAACGTAAAATCTTAAAATTCGTATTTATAAACTCTTAAGGTGTGACCCATATAGTTTAAAATATTTTAAACCTTAACGTGTATGTGTGTGTGAACTAAACTGCTACTAATTTAAACATATATAAGTTTGTCTATTGTTTGTTCTTTACCCACAAATAATAGTTTACGGTGAAACGGTGAAGATAATGTGTTGTGTATTATGAGTCTCAGCTGTCAGAGGGAAATTTATGGAATCAACAATATAGAAAATAAAATTGATGGTGATATCTTTTGTTCGTAAAGTTTACTTCACTTTGTCGTATTTTATTTTCGATTTGTATAGTATAAGTACGTTTATTTCTTTGTTTCTCGGATTTTATACAATACCGACTAGTGCAATATTTTGTTTTCTTTGTTAAGATCGTTTTCCTTATAGTAATTGCATTTATGGATGTATTGTCTTAATAGTTTCTTGTTAAGATAATGAGCACCTCTGATTATTGCATATAGAAAAGCATAATACACATTTTTATCTAACACCCAATCTACGAGTCAATGAAACCGAATTCGGGAGAGGGCGGGATACAGAGGGATGTCGCGGTTTCAGGTATTCAAGTTAGAACCAAAACATGTACTCTGACAAAATATTCGAGCTGCTACCCTCAAAAACACACTTAGCTGTGGATACAGATGGCTGTCACGGCTTCAGGTATTCAAGTTAGAACCAAAACATGTACTCTTACAAAATATTCGAACTGCTACCCTCAAAAACACACTTAGCTGTGGATACAGATGGCTGTCACGCTTCAGGTATTCAAGTTAGAACCAAAACATGTACTCTGACAAAATATTCGAGCTGCTACCCTCAAAAACACACTTAGCTGTGGATACAGATGGCTGTCACGGCTTCAGGTATTCAAGTTAGAAACAAAAAATGTACTCTGACAAAATATTCGAGCTGCTACCCTCAAAAACACACTTAGCTGTGGATACAGATGGCTGTCACGGCTTCAGGTATTCAAGTTAGAAACAAAAAATGTACTCTGACAAAATATTCGAGCTGCTACCCTCAAAAACACACTTAACTGTGAAAAGAGCTCATCATTTCGGCCATGAAGGTATGGAGTTTCGGGTGTTAGCCGGACTACCTTTCTCTTGCACAAATTTAATAGAAGTGTTCATGTTCAAGTAGGTACCACATTTAGCCACAAAGTGTTCATGTAGGTACCGCGTTTGGCCACAAAGTGTTCATTTTCAGGTAGGTAGCCACAAAGTGTTCATGTTCAGGCAGGTATTGCATTTAGCCACAAAGTGTTCATGTTCAGGCAGGTACCGCATTTAGCCACAAAGTGTTCATGTTCAGGCAGGTACTGCATTTAGCCACAAAGTGTTCGTGTTCAAGCAGGTACTGCATTTAGCCACAAAGTGTTCATGTTCAGGCAGTTACTACATTTAGCTACAAAGAGTTCATGTTCAGGCAGTTACTACATTTAGCCAACTTATAGCGGCAAGTAAGCTTCGTTGAGCCTTTCTCAGCCATCTCTATTGACAGAACTCGCACAAATTGCTGGGAAAACAGCTTCATAGAGCTCAAAATTCAAAACAAACAAACATATTAACAAAAATCAAATTTTGTCAGTTTCCTCTTACATGCAGCTGTGCTAAAAGTTTGATTTGCCGAAACACAACATGTGTTTTATTTTTATCAACGTGTTTTTATTTTCTTGATAAACGCTACTCGGGTCACTCAGAAAAGTTTTATTTTATTTCAGTTAAAGTGTATATATATATATTTACTGACACTGGTGCGTTTTTATTAGCAATAAATTGATTAGTTGCATAGTATCGTTTTTCATACTTTAGAAAATGATTTGCTAAACATGCTTAGCTAGTTTAGTAAGTGAAATAAAAATAGGCTCGAATATATGGGCTTATTAGAAATAGATATTCCATCTTTCCTTTGCTGTTTCAAATGTCGTGAAGTGAAGCAGAAATGCAGTGCAATATGAACAAGTTCTTGTTATATAGATAGCAAAAAAACAATATTGTCTATAAAAGTACATTACATTAGAGAACACATTAAAATAAACAAAGGAATGGGACGACAATGTCTTTCCATATGCGCGTTTATACAAATAATATTTTGTTACCATAGTAATGTTCGTGGTTAATCTATATTACAATCTGGATTAAGTCATTATGACGTACCCATGTTATCAGTTGTTCAAAGTAAACTTTTCTTATGGTTTTCAGTTCAATTTTGTTGGTAAATTGCTTG